GCGGGCCCCGGGGGGGGGAACAGAACGTTTAGCCAGCCACAGCGGCGGGTGCGGGGACTCGAGATCTGTCCCCCGCAGAGCAGCAGGCGACTGGGACATAGTTGGGGGTGGGTGGAGGTGGGATTGGATGGAGAGCCTTCAATGCTTTCCCCAGCCCACAAAACGAAAGAAAGTGAAACTTAGAGTGTTCTTAAGCACTTTGTGGGAACAGCTGCAGGGTGTACAAACCCAGGCTCTCAGGCCTCACGTTTGGCCTACAGGTCACACGCTAAGATACTGGCGCTCCTAGCTCCTAAATTGGAGCCATTGTGCCGGGCTGCAAACTCTGAGGCAGCCAACAGCGCCTAGCCCTGGGAGTTGACCATTTTGGGAGCAGGAATTCCATGCCAAGCTTCAAGCCTGGTTCAGCCCAGAGGTTGTGCTGGTATTCAGGTGGGGAAGGGGGTGTGAGAGTGTGATGTCCTGAACTGCTGGGGGACCTCTCTGGCTCTGCACTCCTCCCCAGATCTAGACTTCTCCCCAGCTTTTGGGGGTGCCTCTGGCCTACTCTACTTGACTTGGGGGAGAGTTTGCCAAGGTTGTCTACAGAGAAATTGCTCTTCTGGCTCTTTGCATGGGATTCCTCCCTCCTCTTCCCTGCTTTCCACCTGTTAGGGAAAGCTGGGATTTCCAAGAGCTTCTACCCCCTTGGAGATAGGTGAGAAACGGGCCCAGATGAGTCAAAGATCCTTACTAGGGCCACTCTGGGATCAGACCTACTATTGTTAGGGAACGTGCAGCATTTAACAGGAAGAAAAACACACACACACAAACTTTTTTGTGGAGGACAAAGAAGTTTAACCAGAGACAATAATCATTCTATTTCAAAGTATCACATTAGGTCTTCTTTTTTCTTTCTTGCTTAAAAAAAAAAAAAAAAGGTTACTAAAACAGAAGAGGAGGGGAAAAGCCCCAGGGAAGGAAGCTGGCCCTTGTGTGCAGTGGGAGAGCCCGAACTGGCCAGCCTGGGCAGGAGAGGCTCCCTGGTCTTGGGTTCCCCGCGGCCGGCCGGCACTGTGCTGAGAGTGCGGCTGTGTTAGTAACATCACCAAGTCATAAAGGAACTCTCCCTGCTTTAATTAAAAAGGGGAATCTTGGGAAAACTGGAGCAGATTAGCACAGCGAAGAGTTGGTTCCCACTGATTTATTTTGTTGCATGCAAAACACGGTATCTAGGCTCGTAGGCGCACACATGTCTGTGTGTCAGCTCAACTCCAGACTCAATTCCAGAGGCAGCTGGGCGGTCTCCATAGGAGTTCTGTATTCTGGTCCACCTCACACCTAGGAAACTGAAGCCCGAACACCAGGTGAAATAAACAAGCGGGCCTTAGTTTCATATAAACGGGAGGAAAATCATTTAACCCCTGGAGCTGTCAAGTAACCTCTTCAGGGTACAACTTTTATTTTACATGCGGTAATTAAGGAATCGCAAACCTCAGTCCAACGATGAAGCTGTTGGCAAAATCTCCAACCTGGGGGAAAGCGCAAAAGCTATAAAACTCCCGAGGTGCTGAGGCCTAGGGGGGTGGCTGTCGGAGTGGAGGCGATGTCCCGTTGGCCAAAAATCCTGGAGTGACTTCGCTGGTCTTGGTCTGGTGATTATGTTTAATTGCGAAAGGGATAATGATTTCTAATAAAATTGGACCAGGCCGAAAGGGCAGCTCGGATAGTGACAGCAGGGCTGGCGGAGCGGGGCTGGAACCCGGGGCCCCAGGGACGGCGTCTGGAACCCTGAGCAGCGCTCTTGGTAGAGGGCATCTCTGGCGAGGACGAAGCCCTGAGAGAGAGAGGAAGGAGAGTGGGGTGGAACTGCGTTGGCGGTGGGGGGCTCTGGGGCTGGGGCGCGCGGTGGAGCGCTGGTAGCTTTCGTCGCCTAGAAGGCTGGCGCGCGCTCTAGGAGCAAGTTCGCGGCTTGGAGAGGCCTTTATACCTGGGTCGCAGCGGCCGGCGGCGGATCGCGGTACTGGCGAGCAATTGGACTATTGTTGATATGCTAATGAGGCGATTAGGCTGTTGGTAAAGAGCTGGAAAAGGGAAAAGTTTCTAACATTAG